GAGTTTTATCTCGAGAATCGCTTTTTCCATTGATCGTTGTGAATTTCTGAGTTTTTTTTTTTTTTTAAAGTCCTTTTGGTAATTTACATGTATTTTAAGTGTATGCAATTGATGACATTATATATTCATCACGCACTGCGCGTTTTAAGTATATTTACAAAGTACTTATAAAAACAGTTATCGAAATGATGAGTGGCGCTACGCAAAACGATGGTGCCGAGAGACGCTCAAGAGATAGGTTGCTTGAATATTTATTAATTTAATTATAGACTATTGTCGCTTTAGCTATTGAGTACTTTTTGACAAAAATTCTGCTAACCTTAAAATAGGTTAAATTCTTGTAATTGTGCTTATTTTGACAGGTGCCAATGAGTTGCATTAATTCATGCTGTCTCTCTCTATTCTTCTCTCTCTCTCTCTCTCTCTCTCTCTCTCTCTCTCTATATATATATATATATATATATATATATATATATATATATATATATATATATATATATATATATATATATATTATAGCATATTGCATTATAACATATGTAAAATATTTTATATGTTCTAATGTAATATCCGATAATAAATAATATTGCTCTACTATTGTATTGATCTCTATTTTTAAATTAATGTTGTGAACATTTAAATTTATATTTGATTCCTTTTCATTTCGTTATATATATATATAAGGATTTTCCAAGCGTAGCTTAGATGTGGCACAAGGCCGAAAATAGAAATCAGGGGGCACCCAGTGAGGATCGAACTCACTACTCAGTCATAATTGCTCTAGCGAGCCAAGCTTGCTAACCATTACACAGCCTTGAGGTGCCCTAAAGATTTTCCAAGCGTAGCTTAGATGTGGCACAAGGCCGAAAGCATGGGGCATCCAGTGAGGATCGAACTCACTTTTCAGTAGTGACAAACTTGCCAACCATTACACCACGCCGAGGTGCTATATATATATATATATATATATATATATATATATATATATATATATATATATATATATATATATATATATATATATATATATATATATATATATATATATATATATATATATATATATATATATATATATATGATTAATACAAATATAAAATATGTCACTTAGCTGATTAATATTCAGCAACCCGACTCCACAAATTCATAAACGAACCTTTATTGTAATCGCTGATATTTTAGTTTTTGTTATTTTCATAATATGTTAAAAAATTATTCATGTTCTTATTGACTTTATGTTGATTTTTTCTTCTTTGCGTGTACTTGTGTACTTCTTTTTATAATTTTTTGTCTTTTTATAGTCTCTCACTATTCCCTTTACTTCTCTCTATATATATATGGAGAGAGAGAGAGAGAGAAAGTGAGATGAACAGACAGACTGACAGAGACAGAGAGAAAGAAAGAGTGAGAAAGAGAGAAGGAAGGAGAGAGAAAGATATTTAATAGGTCGTTTAATAAAATCTGAAGAATAAAAAGCCAACAAAATGATATATATTGGCAATAAAATTATATTTATAAGATATAATATATATTAATATTTTGATAAGATATAATATATAATTAATATTTTGACTAAACTGAATTAATGTCGGAAATACGAGGAATAAACAAAGAAGTGGGACTTACTTTTCCGAAGAATGTTGTTGTTGATTAGAGATCTCCCTGTAGAAATTATGCTCCCCGAGTATACCAAATCCCTGTTTAGTCCCTCAATGTGAGAAATTATTTTGAAAATAAATTTCATCTCCGATCTGCGTCTTTCTTGTCGGCTGCTGAATGAAGATGCTAAAAGCATATCGACGATATGAAACGGTTGGTTGAAGTGTGCAGCGACCGAGGAAAAGTGTTGTTGCCCCTGATGTGTTTTTTTTTTTTTTTTGTTTTATGATTATTAAACTGAAGACGGAATTCCGTTCCAGTTTCCCCAACATATTTTTCCTTTTTTGTATTTGTGGCAGAAAAGTAAATATGTAAAATTTGAACTGTCACAACTCAACTGTTGGTTTGAATAATACGTGAGTGCCGGGGGGGGGTGAAATTGCTATCAGTGATGATATGTCTACAGACATTGGGGGGTTATTGCAGGTGATATTCCCTTGGTGAGGTGCTGAATCATGTATGCTGGATTATGATGTTAGGAGTGTGTGTATAGGGGGGAGGCTGACGCCTAGCGTGAAGTGGCTTCTCGCTGAATATTTTTCTAAATGTTTGGTCTCTCTCTATATATATAAATAATGTATATTTAGGCAGTAAGAAGTTATAAGATTTAGAATTTTCGTAGATTTAAAGGGGAAGAATACTCAATATCGGGAGTACAGCATTTATAGTTATGAATAATTAATTATAGTGTTGACATAGAAATCCACACTGCACGGTGACTGACGGCTTACGGCCATATCACGTTGAAACACTGGTTCGCGTAAGATCACCGAAGTTAAGCAACGTCAAAACGGCTCAGTACCTAGATGGGTGACCACTTGGTAATACCAGATGCTGTAAGCTTGGATATGCAGGTGGTATAATTGATAAGGTTTCGAAATTGGAAATCGGTTCTCCAAGTTCCGACTCCAGTAGGGTTTTGTGATATTCACTTACGCGCAAATAGCCTTGGGAAAAGTATGACTCCACCGCCCCTCCCAGGTACGTGTTAATTAGTAGGATTTATATCAGAAAAACATTATTATCTCAAAAAAAAAAAAATCTTACAACCTAGAAATGATTTTTGGCTTTAAATAACTTGCAAAATGTTAATAAGCCGTAAAAACAACAAAAAAACAAAAAACAAAAAAAACAACAACTCTGTAAATGAATGAATTAATCAATACATGGTGACTTGCAGTTTCACACCCTAAGCGGTTATTGTTATAGTGGAACACACCTATTCTTTAGTTAATAGACTCTCCCACCTATAATAAGTAGGAGTAGTAATAGTAACGAGGGGTCGCTAAGTTCGCTGAGTGAGTTGGTCAGTCAGTCGATGCCGGACGACCGTTAGTCGGATACTAAAGTATCAGGTCCACAACTAGATTTCTCTGCGTCATTACCTATTATATGAAGTTCATAACATTTTGTACGTCGAACCTATTTTAGGACCGACTTAGTACAAATACAAGCCTCCACTGTGAAACCACTTTACAATAGTTATCAAATCTATTTATCTGATAGACCGAACACGTAAGGCGTTATACTACCAGTCACCATGCAGTGTCGATTTCTATGTCCACATTACTCTATCTATCTATCTATCTATCTATCTATCTATCTATCTATCTATCTATCTATCTATCTATCTATCTCTGAAAAAAAAAAATAAATACTCTTCATTAAGACTCTCGAATGCACAAACCAGAAGACGTAAATTTATACAATTAAAAAATGTCTACTCAAACACATAATAAACAAATATTTAATGTTTAAAGCAATAATCAGTTATATTTATGCTAGAGTGTGAATAACGACAACTCTATTAATATATCTGCGCAAAACTCTCATTACCTGACTTTGTAAATAAACTAAATAATGTCGAATATAAGATATAATTCACTTACGCAACAGAAGCAAATAGCACTTTCTTAGATACTATATTACACCGTACTGACAATGACGTAAAACTAAGTGTCCATAGCAAAGCAGCTAATAAAAATGATCCCATAAATTTCTGTTCTCAACATAATACCAAAATAAATTTATCACTGCCTATCCTATGATCTGTTTCCTAATGTGTATACTTACGCGTACATACATAAATATACATATATACATATGCATATATAATTTAACATATAAATTCCTCATAAATAAGACAATTAAAAAGTAATGATTGATTGGAATAATGAAAACTTTACAATCTCCACCTATTAAAAAACAATCTTAAACCATGCCTATACAACTACAACAACGAACGCCCACGCAGATCTAAAACAACAATCATAAATGATTTAATGAATAGAGCAGATTTAATATCCTCTACACTCACAAAATTTCTTAACGTGCTCAAAAGCACAAGACAAAAAATAATTAACAATAATTTCTCTAACCTACTGTTGTAACCTTGGGAAGGTTACTGAATAGAGTAATCACACGAAGGTTGGTAATGAATGATAATACTTAGGACAAGAACAACACATATAAGATTCGCCAGCGGCGCTTAGAAGTAGTCAACTGCTAGAAGTGAGTCAAGTGAATTCCACAATGATTCTCCAACTGTAGGATATCTACCAACCGCCCCACGCGGTCAAATGTGACACAAGGCCGAATTTAATGTGGAATATCTGAGCCCGTAGGCTTGGCTAAAAATTCCCCGTAGACCTCGTATAAATCGAGGTCGGGTAGCTGTTTCTCGAGACGAGATTCTGCCCTTCGACATATTCTCGTCTGGGGATCGTCTCTGCCCGGAGGCAGACAATTTGACCAGCACATCTGGAGACGAATCTCTGAATGCACATCAACATACAGTATTTACTACAATATTTATGTGAATGGGGACATACACATTATCGTCCGTAGCTATGCTACAACACCGACATAATCGATAAAGAAATTAATCTAAGCTTCGAAAAAAATAAAAACGAACAATAATACAAATAATGGCATAAAAAACATTAAATTATTTTACAAAAATATTTATACAAGAAAAACAAACTAGATCAAATTCGTACGTCGATACTTATATGTACATATATTATATATATATATATATATATATATATATATATATATATATATATATATATACCCAAGTATATAATTGTTGTATACGGAATAAATGATAATAATAGGGTGTTGAAACAAAATGGCTATTTTTGTAGTGATTTTATAACATATTTATGTTATAAATTGAAAAAAAAATATATATATATATATATATATATATATATATATATATATATATATATATATATATATAAGTGTGTGTGTGTGTACTTATATGAACTTATATGTACTGATAAAACAAATTAAACTCGTTACTTATTGCAAAATACGAAAATATGTTTAACATAATCATCATCAAAGATATCGTAAAAAAAACAAAAAACATTAAAACTGCTACATTGTCTATGATTTCGCTTTCCCACTGGGATAATGTTCCTAAATTAATAATAATTAAAACGTACATAGGTTATAAAACCATTGCATTATAGCTCCGATTAATTTGGTATTTATTCAAAGGTAGATCAATTAAATCGCATGTAACTAATCAATAAAACAACGAAACAAAATTCGACAAATCCTTATAACAAACTAACATCAATCGAGACATGTACTAACATTCCATATGTCAGGACGTATGCGTTAGTAAACGACGCTTTATCTGAAAAGATAAACACAGACATAACACAAAAAACACAATACTACCTACAATTACAACATTTTCACAAAAGCAATAATCTTTCGTAATGTCTTATGAATGACGAAAGTGAATAATTTATATTCAACTAAAAATATTTGGAAATACAGAAAAAAGACCAAAAATCCTTAACAAAAAGTAATTTTTTAATAAACTTAATATAATATATATATATATATATATATATATATATATATATATATATATTCCTACAAATTTGTAGGTTTGATGAATTGGATCGTGATTAAGATGCCAATATAATAAATTATAACCATGGAATATTAGTGTTTGAGCCTTTGATATGTGAGTAGAAGCTGTCAATATTCTGTTGCATGATTGAATGCCATTTTCAGGCCATCGGATGACCTGATGATTGCGTTCAAGCATGAAGTAAACTGTCGACACTCAGTGTTGATCTCAGAGTCCACTCTTACACTTATACACGCTTCATCCTGGATACTAAGCATTTTTAACCTGCATTAAAAAACTATATTTATTCCTTCCCCTCCACACACACACACACACACACACACACACACACACACACATATATATATATATATATATATATTAAGGAAAAATAAAAATAATGCTTAAAACATGCTTATATTTATTGTTTTATTAAAAAGGAACTGCTGGGTTTTTTCTTTGAAATCTTAAAATCAAACGTGACTTTTGTGTGTTAATTGATAACGTGAAATTGTATGGTAGATGTTCTATCTATCTATCTATCTATCTATCTATCTATCTATCTATCTATCTATCTATCTAATTATGTTCATATCTATCTATCTAATTATGTTCATATCTATGTATCAAATTTTATTCACATCTATCTATCTATCTATCTATCTATCTATCTAATTATGTCTATGTATCAAATTTTATTCGCCTTTATCTATCTATCTATCTAATTATATACATATCTATGTATCAAATCTTATTCACATCTATCTATCTATCTAATTATATACATATCTATGTATCAAATCTTATTCACATCTATCTATCTATCTATCTATCTATGTGGGTGATTGTTTTGTTTTCGTTGATTAATTTAACTACATATCAATCACTGTTTTATTGGACAAAAATTACAATGAATAAATATATAGGACACTTAACTTTATACTTGAGTCAAAAGTGGACATCCGCTCGATTAATACTTGAGTCAAAAGTATAAAGTTTGATATTAGTCAATTATAAACATTTTTTTCTAAGACGTTCCATTTCACTTTTTTAAAACAACAAAATGAAAAATTGGTCACTGGAGGCAAGCGAGCAGATTAAGCTCAAAGATAGGAAAGCCTCGTGAGTACGAAACATTGTAATTTAACAACCAAGATGAGTATACTCGTCCGAATAGAAATATATATATAATCATGATAATTACTCATCTAAAAATATAAGAAATCTAAGAAAGTGTTCTTAACTTTAATGAATTCTGAAATCAAGTATTTTCTTTATTAAATCTTGACTCGTCTTTTTTTTTATTTTTTTTTTATTTATCTTTGCCTTTTATCACAATTTAATAGTAAATCCAAAACAATACAGTACGTTGTTGAACTGGTTAAAGTGTCGTACACTAAAGCAGACCTCTTAAGATAGGGAGTGTTAGTACATGTTTCGATTGACGTTAGTTTGTTATTTATATTTGAAGCTGTTTAACGTGACAGTCGTAAGGTAATTCACCGAGAGTGTTTTGATAAGACAGAAAAAAGATCAATCAAGAAATCGAGTTTTGGTCTATTATGCAATTAAATCGTGAGAATGCCTGATTTTTAAATAAAAGAAAATGTTATCACCTGTGTCCGATTCTCTGCAAGATTCTTTGGTTAACAGATCGATAAAATAGCAAATACTTTTTGTCAGATTTATCGAATATTGGAATTAACCTATATTGGAATTATCGAATATTGAAAGGATCGAATATTGGAATTATCGAATATTGGAATTATCCGGGATGTACTCGCCATTGCGTGGTTAGTGTCCCAGATTCTCGTTTGTTATTGAGTTCCTTCAAAGTGTGACCTTTAAACGAAAGTCGACCCACTACACCAAATATCAATTAAGAAAATCCCATTAAGCAATATTGAATGACACGAGAATCCTTAAAGGTTAATTCGCGTTGCTCACGAAAAAAAAAAGTTCCA